CGCTCTCCCCTGCAAGTCAGGGCCGGACACTGGGGGGCGCCGTGGGGCTCAACAGGGGACACTGTTCAGCGGTCAGTGCTGGCCGTGGCAATGGGGGCACTGTGCTGCAGCATGTCTGTCATTCATTCCTTGCAATCAGCTGCCAGGCCTGACCCCAGAGGTGGCTGCATCATAATGTTGGGGTGGGGGAAGAAATGAGGCGAACTGCCCAAAATTGGGGAGGGGGGATCTTCTGCTCCTCTTGATCCGGGGGCCTTGAATCCCCACTGCAAATCCTCTGCTCGTTACCAGCAATCAACCGATACAGCAATTAACTCCCGCTTGGTCCCATCCCCCCCAGGTCTTTGGGCTCCTGGCCGGCATCCTGTTTGCATATGATGCCTATATTACATTCCCCACCCTCCGGAAAACCCACACAGCTGCCCCCACTGGTAAGTGCCCCCAGCCCCCTGGGGCTAGACGGGAGGGGGCAACCCTGCCCCACCACGGGGCCAGGGGGGGTGGGCTAGATGGGAGGGGCGACCCTGCTCCACCACGGGGCCAGAGGGGGTGGGCTAGACGGGAGGGGGCGACCCTGCCCCACCACGGGGCCGGGGTGCGTGTTTTTAGATGGGAGTGGGAGACCCTGCCCCACTATGGGGCTGGTGGGGGGCGGGCTAGACGAGGGAAGATAGGGGGTGATCCCTGACTCTCTAACGCCCCCTTGTGGTCTCTCTCTCTCCTTACAGAATCCCCGGAGGGTGTCTGAGGAGTCGCAGGACCCCGGCCCCCGCTTTGCTGCCTTCGCCCCCCCCACCTCGCTTGTTCTAAGGATTCTTGTTCATACTGCTGGGGGGGGTGGCAAAGAAGAGATTCCCCCCCCCCAACTAATCTCCCTCCAGCTCCCCATCCCCAATTCCTGCCCTGACCTCAGGGCCCCACCCATGCTTAGAAACCTTGACAATGGGGATCGCATGGGGGGAGCCACCCGCCCACCCCAGCAATGCCACCCCCACCTTCCTAGGTTGGCTGGAGCGAGGATGAGGGCAGTGGGGTCTAGTGGTTAGAACAGGTGTGGGCCGGGGGGGAGGAGGGTTGGGAGCCAGGACTCCTGGGTTCTATCCCCAACTCAGGGCAGGGAGCGGGGTCTAGTGGGCTCTGTCCCCTTATCAAGTGCCTTTACTCTTTCTGTGCCTCGGTTTCCCCTGGGCTAATAGGGTGTTACATTGCCAGCTGTTCAGGGCAGAAGGACCCATGTGTTTACGTAGGGCCTACCAGAACCGGAGCCCATGGGATGTTTTCAAGGGAAATACATTTTAATATAAGGAGGAGATTTTTTTTAAATGAACTAAACTTAATGCAAGGAAACCGGCCCCAGGGTGGGGGACTGGGTGGGGAATGGCACACGGGGGATTGGTGTGGTGATGCTCAGGGCACTGACCCCCCCCCAAACCCCTCACGTTCCCCCCACACACTCCCCGGTCCTGCATGTGGCTTGTGTTAATTTCTGCTTATTTTGGGGGGAAAGGGGTTAATAAAAATACTGATAAATGGTTTTGTTTGGTCCCAGTGATGTTGGGGGGGGGGTGTTTCTGAACTGGGGGGGGGGTCAGAGGGCCCATCCACCCCAGATGAGAACCATGGGCCCAGCCAGCCTGGATCCCCCCTCCCCAGGGTCTGTTAAAACACAACCTTCAAGTCAGCGGCACTGCGATGGGTCCCCCCATGGCCCCACAGTATGCCGACATTTTTATGGCTGACTTAGAACAATGCTTCCTCAGCTCTCGTCCCCTAGCGCCCCTCCTCTACTTGTGCTACACTGGGGACATCTTCATCATCTGGACCCACGGGAAGGAGGCCCTTGAAGAATTCCACCTGGATTTCAACAACTTTCACCCCACCAACAACCTCAGCCTGGACCAGTCCACACAAGAGATCCACTTCCTGGATACTACAGTGCAAATAAGCGAAGGTCACATAAACACCACCCTATACCGGAAACCGACTGACCACTACACTTACTTACATGTCTCCAGCTTCCATCCAGGACACATCACACGATCCATTGTCTACAGCCAAGCCCGAAGATACAACCACATTTGCTCCAATCCCTCAGACAGAGACAAACACCTACAGGATCTCTATCAAGGGTTCTTAAAACTACAATACCCACCTGGGGAAGTGAGAAAAGAGATTGACAGAAGTCACCTACTACAGGACAGGCCCCACAAGGACAATAACAGAACACCACTGGCCATCACGTACAGCCCCCAGCTAAAACCTCTCCAGCGCATCATCAACGATCTACAACCTATCCTGGAAAACGATCCCTCACTCTCCCAGACCTTGGGAGACAGGCCAGTCCTCGCCTACAGACAGCCTCCCAACCTGAAGCAAATACTCACCAGCAACTACACACCACACCACAGAAACACCAACCCAGGAACCAAACCCTATAACAAACCCTGTTGCCTTCTCTGTCCCCATATCTACTCTAGCGACACCATCAGAGGAGCCAACCACATCAGCCACACCATCAAGGGCTCATTCACCTGCACATCTACCAATGTGATATATTCCATCATGTGCCAGCAATGCCCCTCTGCCATGTACATTGGCCAAACCGGACAGTCTCTACGCAAAAGAATAAATGGACACAAATCGGACATCAGGAATGGTAACATACAAAAGCCAGTAGGAGAACACTTCAATCTCCCTGGTCATTCTATTACAGATTTAAAAGTAGCCATCCTGCAACAAAAAAACTTCAGAAACAGACTTCAAAGAGAAACTGAAGAACTAAAATTCATTTGCAAATGTAACACCATTAATTTGGGCTTGAATGGGGACTGGGAGTGGCTGGCTCATTACAGAAGCAAATTTCCCTCTCCTGGAATTGACACCTCCTCATCAATTGTTGGGAGTGGACCACATCCACCCTGATTGAATTGGCCCTGTCAACACTGGTTCTCCACTGGTGAGGTAACTCCCTTCTCTTCACGTGTCAGTATAACAACGCCTGCATCTGTAATTCTCACTCCATGCATCTGAAGAAGTCGGGTTTTTTACCCACAAAAGCTTATGCCCAAATAAATCCGTTAGTCTTTAAGGTGCCACCCAGGGCCGGCTCCAGGCACCAGCTTGCCAAGCAGGTGCTTGGGGCGGCCACTCTGGAGAGGGGCGGCACGTCCAGGTATTCGGCGGCAATTCGGCGGACGGTCCCTTACTCCCGCTCGGCGCGAAGGACCTCCTGCCGAATTGCCGCCACAGATCACGATCGCGGCTTTTTTTTTTTTTTTTTGAGCTGCTTGGGGCGGCAAAAACCCTGGAGCCGGCCCTGGTGCCACCGGACTCCTTGTTGTTTTTGTGGATACAGACTAACACGGCTACCCCCTGATACTTGTTAAAACACAGGTCACATCCGGCCTTATAAATGATCACATTACAATGACACTGACACTCTCTACTGCCAGGAAAAGGAATAACCCCCTCCATTGCTCACCCGGTGCTGAGATGCAGCCACCTCTGGGGCGGGGCACCTGGGGAACAGTGGCATATAACGCCACAAGGGGACAGCTCAGACTCGGATCCAGGTTTTAAAGGACTCTTTTATTAAAAAGGTTGCTTTTTTTTCTTTAAATTAACCCTTTAATAGAAAAACAAATTGGAAGGTTAAATTCCAGACACAACGGGGACCCCAATTCTGTACTGGGGCCAGTACAGGGTGTACCCCCATACATAACTGTACCCCCATTCTCTGCAACCCCCCCCCCCCTTCCCCCCAGCGCAGCCCCCAAGAGGGTCTGGAGGGTGGGAACTGAACCCCCCAATTGTTCCACTATTAAACAATCAAAAAAACGTGATCTAAATGGGGGAACACACCAAAAAAAAAAAAAAGCCAAAATCCTGCTGACCCCCTCCCAGGTCAAAGTTCAAAGGTCACAATGGACAAGTCACAGGTCAGTGATGATCCCCCAAAGACCATGTGAGAGGGATGAAAGGTCAAAGCACAAAAGTCAACAGGTCAAGGGCCCCAAAGTCACAGTGCAAAGGTCCCATCCAAAAGGCAAAGGTCAGAGTGGGAGGGCATTTTCAGGGGTTAGAGGTCAAAGTTCCCAGCCAAAGTCAAGGGGCACAGTGGAAAGGTCAAAGGCCACAAGGGAAAGCTCACCACCAGCAGGTCAAAGGTCGCCACCAAATCTAACCGGCCACAGTGGAAAGGTGCCAACCAGAGTTCAAAGGTCACCGATGCAAAGATCCTGAGTAGGGTTCAAAGGTCACAATGGGCAGGTCAGTGTTCATAGGTCCCTGAGGAGAGGTCAAAAATCACAAGGGCGAGGTCCAACCATCCACAGCCCCAGGGCAAAGACAAGGGGCAAGGTCGCTGTTGAGAGGTCATTGCCCCAGGATCCTTGGCCAGAGGTTAAAGTTGAAAGATCACAGCGCAAAGTCCCAGGTCAACAAGGTCAAAGGTCACAGCGGAAAGGTCAAAGTCCAAAGGTCCCCAGTGAAACGTGATGAGTTAAGGTCATAGTGGAAAGATCAACCGCCGAGCATTCACAGCAAAGGTCAGAGGTCACCACAGAGGCCAATGGCTAAGGATTCCAGACAAAAGGTCACAAAGGTCATAGATGTGGAAAGGTCACAGATCAAAGGTCAGAGATTCCAATGCAGAAGCCAATCGCTGAGAGTCCCAGGTGAAAGGTCAGGGGTGACACCAGAAAAGGTCGACGTTCAAAGGTCCTCCATGGAAGGTGACCACTAAAGGTCAGAACTCACAGCGGAGAGGTCAAAGTCTAAAGGTCACAAGCAAAGGTCAGAGGCCACACTGGAGAGGTCAAAGCTCAAAAGGAGTGACCAAAGGCTGCAAGCAGAGGTCAAAGGTCGCTGACGGGGGGTCAGAGTTCAAAGGTCACAAGTGCAGGTCAGAGGCCGCCGTGGACAGGTCACACTGGAGAGGTCGTTGACAGCAGGAGGGTCAAAGTTCAAAGGTTGACTCAGGCCACCACGCAGCTCCTGTCCCGAGCCCCCCGCAGCCCCTGGCGCCCTTTGCCCCCTCCCTGCCGGGGGGGTCCCGCCTCAGCGGCCGGAGGGGGGCCAGCCCCGCCCCGCAGGTGGGGAGGCAGGGGGATGGGCTCCCCGAGGAAGTAGCCTTCCTCCTCCGAGTCCGAGGAGGAAGAGGAGGAGGAGGAGTCGTGCCAGGGGCCGCCGCGGCCCCGGAGGTAGCGGCGCCGGTGGCTGGGGGGGAAGGCCCCCTCCGAGGCCGAATAGACCAAGCGCCGCCCCCCCCGGCCCTGCTCCTCCGGGGGGAGCCCCCCCTCGGGCTCCTCCTCCCCCGCCAGGTGCAGGGCGTTGTCGGAGGAGGAGCAGGGCCGGGCGCGGGGCCGGCGCCGATGCAGCTGGGCGCTGCGGGGCCCCCCCGGCTCGCCCGCCACCAGGGGCTCGCGGAAGCTCACTCGGGGGGCGGTACCCCGGGGGAAGCCTCCCTCCCCCGCTGCCGCACCCCCGCCCTCCAGGGGGGGGCCCTGGCTGAGCCGGGGGGACACCGAGAGCTTGGAGGCGGAGCTGCTGGTCCAGTCGGCCCCCTTGGCCGGGGCCAGGCCTAGCTCGGGCATGGAGTGTCGGTGGGGGATGCCGCGGTGGAAATGGGACTTGGAACCTGCGGGGGAGAGACGGGGTGGGGGTTAGAGACAGGAGCTGCCATGCCGCCCACCTCCCCCCCCACCGCTGGGATCCCACCCCATCTGTGCACCCCCCGCCGCCCCCCCCCCCCCCCCCCCACTGGGATTCCTCCCCAGTCTCACCTCCTTCCTCCTCCTCCGGGGGTCGCGGGCAGGTGGAGGTGCCCCGCGAGGTGCATCCGGCCGGCTCGCCCCCCTCCTCCGCCCCGGGGGTCCCGCTCCAGCTGCGCCGCCCGCCAGGGTCCGAGCCCCGGGCTGGGGCAGGGCGGCCAGCGAAGGAGATGGAGCGGGCGACAGGCGGGCGGCGGAGGGGGGCCCGGCGGCCGTCCTGGGGGCGGGGGCCGTGGAGGGCCGAGTCGCAGGAGTCCGAGGCGCTGGCCTCGTCCCCCCCCAGGCTGCAGCCCCGGGAGCAGAAGATCTGCCCCCCCTTGGGGAGGAAGGGTTTGCCCAGCAGCGGCAGCCGGCAGCGGGTGCAGCAGAAGCAGGCGTCGGTGGCGTGCCAGTGCTGGCCCTCGTAGGTCATCTGGCCCTGGTTGATGCCTGCGGGGGGCAGAGATGGGGGCACAACGTCACCCAGGACTCCGGGGTTCTATTCCGGCTCTGGGAGGGGAGAGGGGGCTGGAACAGGGGGGGGTGGGGGGGCTGGGAGCCAGGACTCCTCGATTCTATTCTGATGCCTGGGTGCTCCCTACACCCCCCACCCCCCACTTCCCGGGCACCTGCTCTCCTGCTTCATGAGTCCCCGGACACCTGGGTCCCTCTGCTGCCTAGGTCCTCCCTCCTTTTCCATTGCCTGGAGGCCGGGGACCCCCTGCTGCTCGGACGCCTGGGTCCTCCACTCTTTATTGTCCCCAGATACCAAGTCTCCCCACTCTCCACGGTCCCTGGATGCCACGCCCCCCTGCTGCCTGGACACTGGAGTGCCCTGCTCTCCAGGTCCCCAGACAGCAGGACCCCCTGCTGCCCAGATGCCGGGGTCCCCCCGCTCTTCATGGTCCCCAGATGCCGAGTCCTTCTGCTGCCTAGACACCAGGTCCCCCCGCTCTCCACGGTTCCCGTACACCAGGTCCCCCCACTGCCCGGTGTAGCCCATGGGGTTACTTTCCTAGCTTCCTATATTATATAATCTGTGTGGGTTTTTTAATCGGTTTGATCAATTATATGATTTCGGTTTTTCCATTTCAGCAGCCATTATCTCGTTCTACTCGGCAGTAACGCAAGGAACCTGCAGGCCTGTATCCTGTCTGATTAGCTAGAGCGAGTTAGCACACGTGTCTGTAATCTTTGGCCTAGATAGCCAGGGCCCACCGGTTACCCCTTGTGACTCTGAATGGGGAACCAAATGTGTTTACCCAAACTCTGGGACGGACCGGTAACCGCAAGGGCATGGAAGTAACGGCTCAGGCCAAAGGAAACGCTTTCGAGAACGAGCTAATCGAGATGAATACGCAGGACTATGTGAGAACGTGCCAGCCCATGGAGTAAGCGTCCCCTATCCGGCTCAGATTTGGGCATGGACGGCCGGGCATGGGTTCGAATATTCTGGATAGTGCCAGGACGCTGTAAGGGAGCGAACGCCAGACGCTCTAGAGCGTCTTTGGGGCGCTGTGATTCGGAGCTTTGGTTACTCGCTCGTTTGGTTGAATGGACTGAACTCGCTTCACTAATTCTGTAGCCTGATTTTGGGACAGTATCTGCTGGTCAGATCACTGGCGAGCCTATGATAAATCAGCCCTATATAATCAGGTTAACATCGGACGCCGGGGTCCGCCTGTTCTCCACGGTCCCCAGGTCCCCCCACTGCCCAGACGCTGGGGTCTCCCCACTCTCCATGGATCCCAGACACCAGCTCCCCCTGCTGCCTGGACGCCGGCGTCTACCTGTTCTCCACGGTCCCCACCTGCTGGGTCCCCCCACTGGCTGGATGCTGAGGTAACCCCGCTCTCCACGATCCCCAGAACCCAGGTCCCCCCGCTGCCCGGACACTGGGGTCCCCCCGCTCTCCACGGTCCCCAGACCCCGGGTCCCCCCGCTGCCCGGATGCCGGGGTCCCCCCACTCTCCACAGTCCCCAGACCCCAGCTCCCCCCACTGCCCGGACGCCAGGGTCCCCCCGCTCTCCACGGTCCCCAGACCCCGGGTCCCCCCGCTGCCCCAGACCCCGGGTCCCCCTGCTCTCCACGGTCTCCAGACCCCAGGTCCCCCCGCTCTCCACGGTCCCCAGACCCCAGGTCCCCCCGCTGCCCGGACGCCGGGGTCCCCGTACCGATGGGCTCCCCGCAGGCGTCGCAGTACTCGGCGTAGAGGGCCTGGTAGCAGCGGCAGCAGTAGGGGCGGCTCTGGCGCATGACGTAACGCTGCCCGCCCAGCGCCTCCTCGCACTCGAAGCAGCAGAAATGGCGCATGTGCCAGTGACGGCCCTCGGCCTCCGTGCACTCGTCGGCGAAGATGATCTGGGGGGAGATGGAGGCATGTCCCTCTGACCCCCTGTGGGGACCCCCTCAGATTCCCCCCCAGGCCACCCTCCCGGACCCCACAATCCCATCCCCAGAAAACCCGTCTGGACCATCAGACCCCCCCCCCCCCCCCCCCCCCCCCCCCCCCCACGCTCCTGCCCCCTCCAGAGCCCCCCATCTTGGCCCCCCCGCCGGCCCCCCGCCCCTCACCTCGTCACAGGCCTGGCAGCGGGGTTTGAGGTGCTCGGCGTGGTGCCGCCCGCAGTAGATCTTCCCCTCCTGGTAGAAGTAGATGAGATCTACCAGCAGTTCCTGGCAGGTCGTGCACTGGAAGCACTGGGGGTGCCAGCAGGCCCCGTGCCCCGCCCGGCTGGCAAACACCGCGATGTCCCCGCCACGGATCTGCTTCCCGCACTGCCCCGCAGAGAGAGAGAGACCGGTCACAGGGAGCCAGGCACCGGGCCTGTCCCCTCTGGGGGGCGCCGGCTCCCATCGGCCCCAGGGCGGGGACTGGCTGGCTCAGGGGGGTGGGAACGGGGTCTGGGGCCTGTCCCCTCTGGGGGGCACCGGCTCCCATCGGCCCCAGGGCAGGGACTGGCTGGCTCGGGGGGCGGGGAATGGGGCGGGGGTCTGTCCCCTCTGGGGGGCGCCGGCTCCCATCTGCCCCAGGGCAGGGACTGGCTGGCTCAGGGGGCGGGGAATGGGGCAGGGGTCTGTCCCCTCTGGGGGGCGCCGGCTCCCATCTGCCCCAGGGCAGGGACTGGCTGGCTCGGGGGGCGGGGAATGGGGCGGGGCCTGTCCCCTCTGGGGGGCGCCGGCTCCCATCTGGCCCCGGGGTAGGGGGCTGGCTAGCATGGGGGGCAGGGAATAGGGTAGGATACTGTCAGATGCTGCAATGCCCCCTCTGGCCTGTAGGTGTCACTGCTCAGCTACTCGCTGACTGGTGCCTCCAAGGGCAGGGGGAGGGGAGCCCGAGCTCTGGGCGGGGCTTTGGGCGCAGGCCCCGCCCCTCCCCACCCGACAGATGACTCTGGGCAGCATGGCCCGGACTGAGCCCTCAGCATGGGATTAGAGCTGCCAGCACGTGAGCCAGAGAGAGAACCCAGGCGTCCGGGCTCCCAGCCCCCCTCCTCTAACCACTAGACCCTTCTTCCCTCTCAGAGCCGGGGAGAGAACCCAGGCGTCCGGGCTCCCAGCCCCCCTGCTCTAACCACTAGACCCTTCTTCCCTCTCAGAGCCGGGGAGAGAACTCAGGCGTCCGGGCTCCCAGCCCCCCTGCTCTAACCACTAGCCCCCACTCCCCTCCCAGAGCCGGGGAGAGAACCCAGGCGTCCGGGCTCCCAGCCCCCCCCCAGCTGTTCTAACCACTAGCCCCCACTCCCCTCCCAGAGCCAGCGAGAGAACCCAGGAGTCCGGGCTCCCAGCCCCCCTGCTCTAACCACTAGACACCACTCCCCTCTCAGAACTCCCAATCAGCACCCACAACTCCCTGCCTGGCCGAGGGTGGCGTCCCGGCTCCCACAATGCTTTGCACAGCCCACGGGGGTGGGTTTTTGCTCCCAAAATCCCACTAGGGGTAGCGGAGTGTGAGGTGGGAGGGGCGAGAGGGGGCACAGGCGGGGGGACGTGCTGGGTACCTGCTCACAGATGGCACCAGTAATGGTGACCGGGAACAGCCGGACCGTCCCTCGTCCGAGATTCTCCCGCTTCCGCTGCTGGGAGAAAAGCTTCAGCTCCTTCTTCTCTTCCTCCTCCAGAGGGCTGCAGTACTGAGCCTGGGACACAGAGAGACCGACTGAGCCAGCACCAAAATGCAGCCAGCTCTGGGGCGGGGCAGCTGGGGAACAGCCGCATATAACGTCGCATGGGGACGGCTCGCCCGGCACTGAGATGCAGCCAGCTCTGGGGTGAGGCAGCTGGGGAACAGCCGCACAGAGACACCACAGACCAGTCTGGGGCAGAAAGAGAGACCGAGGGAGGCCGACTGGAATCCCTTGAACTGGGATTTGGCCCGGATGCCGGGGTTCGCTCCTGGTCTCTTGGGGAAAACATGCCAGGGGAACTTTTAGGAGATCAGGATCTCATTTAGGGCCACCTCCTGCCGCATGGAGCCAGCCTGCCAGAGGAGGGCGCCCCCCCGCCCAGCCCCCCAACCCGCTCCCCGCTCCCAGAGCCTGGCCCCTCACCTCGCTGTCGTGGGGGGGCAGCTGGTGCAGGAGCTGGCGGATCCGGTACCGCTCTCCAGGACTGTTCACATAGGGCACCTTGTCCTCAGGGAGGCAGCTGAAGAACTGATACACCTGGCGTGGGGAGAAGGGCCGGGGGGGGGGGGGGGGGGGGGGGGCGGGGCCCGGGGGGGGGGGCCGGGCCCCCCCAGGGGGGGGGGTCACAAAGCAGGGTTGGGGCTGGGATGGCTGAGAGGCCACAGGGGGAGGAGCTGGAAGGGCGGCGCCGTGCCTTTGATCCCTCTCCCCCCCAGTAGGGTATCTCTGGCCCCTATGCGGGCGTGGCTTCGGCCCCCTTGGGGGCGGATCTAGGATCCCACCTATGTGGGCGTGGCTTCCACCTCCAGGAATAAAGGGGTGGGGCTATGGGACACCTCCCTACAGGAGGCAGGGCTACGACCACAGGGGTGGGGCATGAGACAGGGCTTTGACTACAGGGGCGGGGCTCCCCAGGGGGCGGGGCTTTGGGACCCCCAGGGGGCGGGGCTCACCTGCTCCGGCTTGAGGCCGGGCGGCACCCAGGCATACTCCTCGGAGGCGCAGCCCGAGTCATCGTCGGAGATCGAGTGGCGCTGGAAGTCTGAGATGAGCCGGCACATCATGCGCTCCAGGTCGACGGGCACTGCCCGCACTGCGTGCTCCTCCCGAGGGCACTTGCAGTGCTGGCAGATCTTCCTGGGGGCGGGGAGACCCTACAATAACACACCGCCCCCCCAGAGAGACCCTACAATAACGCACCGCCCCCCCAGAGAGACCCTACAATAACACACCAGCCCCACCCCCGGAGAGACCCCACAACAATGCACTGCCCATCCACAGAGAGCCCCTACAATAACACACGCCCCCCCAGAGAGACCCGACAATAACACACGCCCCCCTTCGCCCCGGGAGAGACCCTACAATAAACACACTGAAGCAGAGGGTGACTCCTGGAGGACCAGGAGTGGGGCTGTAGGCTGGGCATGGGTGGGGGAGGGGGTCGGGGAGGAGTCTCTTGGGGAAGGGGTCACTGGGAGGGGGGTCTCTGGAGGGGGAGGGTCCCTGGGGTCTCTTCCCCCTCCCCCCCATGCAGCAGGTGCAGAGAGTCTCCTTCAGCCCCATTAACCCCAACGGCCTGAGCCTCACAGCGCTACTGGGCTGGGAACGGGGCCCAGCTTGTCTGAGTCCCCCCCCCGGGCACCAGGCCAGGCTCTTTGCTGCCTCACGGAGGGGGGGGAAGTGGGGAGTGCGGGGGGGGG